CTTTATTATAGTAGCCATGATGAATCCAAGTATCAGACCGTTGACTGGGTATATTCCCAGAAGTTTCGCCAGCATCGTAGTAAGCATTACCAATATCTTCATTCCTTAACCCCACTTTATATACCAATTTAAAGTTCTACACTTCTACGTGTCTTCGTTTGTTTCAATGTCTCTCACTCCGAGTGGATTTAGTAAAATAAAATTATCTCCATCACCGATTTCGGATGTCGTCTGCAGGGCTTCTTGGTCCAAATGACTAGTATAAAGTGGGGGCAACGGTAGTAATGGACAAAACGCAATATACGGAGAGGGTGGAGACTGTACTAGTGGACAAAAAGAACCTTTGGATTGATAACCAGGGATCGAACAACGTATTAAGTTTTCCATAGAGGGAGCGGGGGTCGGGGTTTAGATAGACTGTAATTATGTGTGTATGTTCATAGTATGTTGGTTTAATCATTGGGAATGTCCATGATTATAATTTCTAAAAATGAGACTTGGCAACAGATGTGAACATGTCAAAATTAGAGGTGTAACATGGAGCACTTCAACGAGATTTGAGACCTGACTGTGTACATTAAGCTACTATTTAATGATATGACAACATAAATTGACTCTAGTGAATGATAGGGCAGACATTACTTTTATGGCAGGTCAAACATCCTTCAATTTGCATTTTTTATAAGACTGTAATAAGCAGGGTAAACGTACATTTGTTAATGCAATCGCCTACATTGCTATATACTAAATGGGCGGGTTTCGAAACTATCTTAATTTAGAAGCCGAACCACCTTGCCTAGTTTAAGGTGATGATAATTTTGCAACCTACTTAATCGTCAAGGCCATGCTATCTATGATATTGGCAAATACAAGTATACTTGAGCGCCATCCAGACAATGTAAACATTCCAATATCCGATACTTCTCACGCCCAGGGAATCAGATGAAGTTTTCTCTCGGTATCACCAATTCCCTAAACCATTTATAAGGCGTGAAAGAGTAAATAATAAGCCACGCTTGCTCAAAAGTCCGTTAAGAATAAGGCAGCTCTAGAATATTCATTATTATTCTTGCCTAGTTTCACCCCGCAAAAAGAATATAATCCAAATATCCTAGTAGTAAGAAATGTACGCAGGGCCACAGCCTTAAAACCTGAATGACGGCTTGAGGAGGTGTTAGAAACAGGGAAAATGATTAGGCGTGTATTCTTACATGGAATTGACGTTTGCTTGTGCTGACTTCACCAGAAAATCAACGGCCATAGTATTGTGCAGTCTGATGGCTCTGTGCAGTAAAGAGGGTCCTTCTGGCAAAGAGAGGCGTGCCAGTGTGTCGACTTGTAGCTGGTGAAGGGGTCTGACTGTAGTACTCCTAGCAGTTGATAACGATGCAGCTTCATTGGCAAGAACGAGTAAGCGTCGAGCCAAGTCGAAACGCCCCGACCAGAGAGCCAAGCTGAACACTGAGTCACCGATTTCGTCAAGGATAAGCCAGTCAACTTGAGGCAGTTTAATGGGATGCCGTGCTAGGGTAACAGTTTAATCGTAAGAAGGTATCTCATAAAACTAACATAAGAGCATAAATTGAAAAGTAGAACAAGCTCAGATCCCAGTGTATAAAAAAATTAGAAAAGAAGAGAATGAACTCAGGCCACTTAAGAATTCAGAATGTATCTATAATCGATTTTATAATTTAATCCATCCGAAATATCAACGAACTTTTCCAATTCAGAAAGAAACAATAAGGTAGACTAACTCCTAGGTTGGAATAGACATCAATTACGACCATATAAACGTAAAATAATATGGACATACAAAGCTAAATAACTTAACCGCACCGTTACCCACCTCCACAGCACATATTTGAACAAGATATTGGACATATGTCCTAATTCATGTTAAATCTCCTTTATTTATTTGGAGCCTTTGCTGCACCTCTTAAACCATCATCAAGGTTAGTTGGAGCAAATGTAGCAGTACACGTCAATGTAGCTC